AAAAGTTCTAACTTTTTCTAAAGTATTTTTTGAGGACAGGAAGAACAGGGAAACAAAAAACCAGACAGGACGACTAGTAAATAATAAAATGGTAAACCCAAATTTAACCACATCAGTAATGACCAGAAACACAGCAGTTAACAATTCAACGAAGATGATCGTCTTTAGACACTTAAAACTTTACCTAAATGAAATATACTGTATTAGAGACTTCTTGAAATTCAATTCAGTGATAGAAAATAAGGGAAGTGTGGAAGTCAGCTGGGCTAACATCTTATTCCCTTCTTACTTAGCTCTTAGCCAACCTAGCCAGCTGTGACTCTTGGGGTAAATGGCTGAACTTCTTGGGTGACCTCATTTTCCAAATCATCAAATTACAGATTAGAAGTGGATGTTCTGTGAAGTCCCTCAGTTCCCCCACCTTCGTACGCAAGGCTGCTAACACATCTTCTCCTTTGCCRTAGATTTCCAACGCACACAGTCAGCAGATGGACGACCTATTTGATATCCTCATAAAGAGTGGAGGTAGGTCAGAGGTCATGCTGCCCACGGCCCCCCCAGGAAGTAGCTTCTCCACACATCTGTGACAGGTCTCCTCCAGAGCTTTAGGTCATTTACCTAAACAAGGAAACGTCATTGATTCAGCTCCAAACAGTAATATTACATTAGATTTATCCATAGAGATCTGCCTGCTGAAAAAGATTCCTTGCCAAACAAAGTAAAACTGGATTTAAATTCCGTGTTGAAAATTTCAAATTGTATCCCACGAGTATCACTCRTTTTCAAGGGATGAGAACATTCCAGTTCTACTTTAATTCTGTGACAACCATGTTGCCCTGTTTGGGCAAAAGCAATAATACTAAAGAACTTTGTATATATGTAGTCTTAAAAAAAAGTGTCAAGGTTATCTGTGCCTCAGCTTACACTTGTAGGGCTGGGGTTGTGGTTCAGCGATAAAGTGCTCACCTAGCACATGTGAGGCACTGGGTTCAATCCTCAGTACCACATATAAATAAAGGCATTGAATTCACCTATAACTAAATTTATTTTTTCTTTTTTTTTTTTTTTTTTTAAGAAAATGTCATTTATGTTTTCAGAACTTTATACAAAATGCATATGGCTGAATTGGGGACACAGTCCAACTATAATGATTTTTTTTTTTCAAAGAAAATATTAGATCTTTCTTAATATTAAGAATATACTTCAGGTCTCTTTGCAAACTCAGGAGAAATATTTCCATTCAATTTGAGGTTCTCATGCAGTTATCAGCAGATTCACAGTGTCAGATAAGAAAGGAGCCATTCCTTAAAACCTTAATGACTAAGAATAAGGACCCAATAATTAAATAAGCCCTTGATTCCTGTCAAGTAGGATATTATAGCTTGCAATGCTTAGTCTTACTGAGAAAAAACTGAAAAAACAAAAGCTTATTACATTCTGATGTGTTATCTATTTAGCTAAAATGATTCATCATCCTAAAGATTATCAAGGATTAAACTTGACGAATAGCATTTCTCTCATCTCTAAGAGGGRTGAGAATAAGAGTCACAAAATAGCAAAATAACTGCCCTACTAATAGAAATTTTAAAATAGTAGTAAATCTTTACTTCAATTRTTTTCCAGAGATTTCCCTCCCTATAAAAGAAGAGCCTTCCCCAATTTCCAAAATGAGGCCAGTGACAGCCAGCATCACCACCATGCCAGTCAACACAGTGGTGTCCCGGCCACCACCCCAAGTTCAAATGGCACCACCTGTGTCCTTAGAACCTATGAGTAGTTTATCCGCCAGCTTAGAGAACCAACTAGAAGCCTTCTTGGACGGAACTTTACCTTCAGGTAGTGAAATGGCTCCACTACAAAGYAGCAGTGAAGACAGGGAACCCTTCTCCCTGATCGAGGATCTCCAGAACGAGCTGCTGAGTCACTCTGGCATGCTGGGCCACGCACACTCACCCATGGAGACCTCCGAGGCCCAGTGTGCCGCAGGGGCTCCCTGTCTGTCTCTCGACCTCTCAGACTCCCACCTGGACAGCATGGAGTGGCTGGACATCACCATGCCCAACACATCCTCGGGGCTCACTCCCCTCAGCACCACTGCACCAAGCGTGTTCTCTGCGGACTTTCTAGACCCACAGGACCTCCCACTGCCATGGGACTAACATCATAGGCTGCTTGTCTCAGAATTCATGAGGTTTCAGAATATGAAGAAGATTCTAAGAGGTCAGTTTTTAGAGATAGATCCATAGTTGCATTGTTGCAATTAAAACATGTGATAGAGTAGCTAAGAAGGTCAAGGCCTGGAAACCAAGTTTGAAACCTTTCATTGCATTCAGCAGTGAATTCCTACAATATAACATGGCACAGGGCCTTCTGAAACACTAGTCCAAGAAGACTCGCCTGGTTCTCCAGACTGCAGTACAGAAGGAAAAGTACCTTTAGATAAAGACATAAGAAAGGGTAAGACATGCAGGAAAATGACACTAGGATTCTCTGGTAATCAACTACATGTAAACCTCTGTGGTCACTGGGACCCTAAATAAAAGGCAGACAGCTCCACTCACAAACCAAGGCCRCAGTGAGGGAGAGGAGAGGTCTCTGTAGGAGCCACTTCCTAGAGATGGCCTGAGCCAGCCGGGCACAGCGGGGGGTTGGAGAGTGGAGAGGGCTGCCCAGCTTGGTGCGACAGCTTCCAAAGGAAGACTTTTGCTCCACTCAGAAACCTGTGATTTTTTTGTTGTTGTTGTTGTAGTTTATTTTGCAATTTTTGGAATCTTACTTTAGAATTCCAAATTTAAATGGAAGATATTTCACCACAACCATATGTCTACAAGATATTGTCAGACAATCCACTGTAAAAAGTCCAGGTATATTGATAACACTGAAAATTCTATTAGCAGCCCTCTGGGTTGATTCGATTGGTTTTAATGTGTATATTAGGCATTTATATGTACACTCTGACTTTGTGACTTGTATAGCTGACGTTAGGGTAAGGAAATGGGTATCCAGTGGTCCTACTTTAAGAACTCAATATTTCTAGAGTACTTGAGCCACATGTATTTTCATATTTAAAGAATTGCTGACTAACTTTCAGGTAACCAGACCCATCTCAATGAACCAAGAAAAGGCTAGCATGAAATGTCTTTCTGAGCTGGTGAATTAGAAGAATGGAAGGTAAGGGGAAAGTCCTCTGTGAACCAGGACCAGGACATTCCCACCTCAAGTCCAAGTTAGACTGTCCATGAGCTCGGCCACCAGATCCCAGCTCTGGCCGTCTTTGTCACCAGTCCCTGGTTATCATTTTACAGGCTTGTAACTGGATGTCCTACCCAAGCTCTCACTATATTATCAAGCCTAAATATCAAAAAACTGGAGGTTTTATTAATGTTTTTMTATATTTAAAAAAAAACTATCACATTTGTCAAGTAGTTTAAGAAATTCTGAAATGCCAACTATCACAAGATTTCCCAAATTATTTTGATCTAGTAGTTTTATGTATATATAAAATGTAAATAATGGAACAAAAAACTGAAATCTTCCAAACAAGGGTGGAGGGCTTTACTAAATAATGACACTGTGCCGTCTCCTCACCCTGTGTAGGCCCAAGGGCCAGGTTGATTCCTGGGTCATTAGATGGTGGATGCTCCACACAAGTGACACGCAAGAGGCAGCCTGACCCATTGTTTGGGAAGAATTTGTGAATCATTTCTGGGTTTGYGTTTTGCCTAAAAATATAATTCTTTTTTGGTCTATAAATTTTACTATATGTAAGAAAAGTCCACCTTTCCAACACTAGCTCCCTGGAGCCCTCTGTTAACTGCACTTTCTGGCTTGAAGGTGCTGATGGTGCTGACATGCAAGGCAGAGGCCACTGTGCTCAACGTAGTCAGTGATGAAACTGGCAACCCACCCCAGGGTACGGCAAGTCTATGACCAGCTCCCACCCAGGCAGATGAGGGCTTCCCAGCATAGCTAATGGGACCCAGGTCAGTTCCCCGGTAGGGATGGTCTCCAGAGCCAGGTTATCACTTGGGAAGTGACCTTCCCTATGGAAGGTCTTAGCCCTGGATTTTCTGAGGGCTTCTGTCTGGGGTTCATCAGGTCCAGTCTCCAAGCACCTTCTTTGTTCAGATCTTAATAGTGTGTTAATTAGCACCGACTAGCAGTGGGACTGTAGAAGGCAACTGAACACCTTGTGCTCCTAACGCCTGTTGGGTGACTTCCTGGTTCCATAATCCTGAGTTGCATGCACAGATCGTTTTCCAGCCCTCGGGTCCCTTCATCAGTAGGGACCTGAGAACTTGAAACACCACCGAAAGTTTGCTCTCCAGAAACACATCACGCAGCACAAAGAATGCCGGCTTGTTAGCAGTGTGTAGTCAAAGARCAGCCTACATGCGCTCGAGCCTTGGTGTGCAGCGTCTCGTCCTCCAGAAGGCAGTGGGCCTGCAGCACCTCCCGCCAGCAGCCATCCCACTCGCACCATTCCACTTGGCCCCCCTTTCCCAGCCCAAGTAGCCAGCAGGCACCTGGGACACAGTGCCACTTTCCAGGGCCTCACCCCCATGTCCAGGTAAGGGCGAGCACATGGGCAGTGTGTTGGCACGCATGTGACACAACCAAAGACCACTCTGCACACCAGGCCTTTGACCTGGCAGAGGTGATGTGCACGTACTAAAGGTGGCTTTCTGCTGTTGGAAGCTAGTTTCATAGCCATTAAAGCACAGGACAAAAGAGGACAAAGTCGAATTCTCGCTATGCATGTGTGTGGTTCAGATGTGCTGCTGTTGTACATCATATTGCAAAGTACTCCATTGCCAAGGAAACAGGCCTAGAAACATTGTCACACCCATCTTATTTCCCTGCATAGTCTCAACACAGTAGCATAGACCTTCCCTTCTACTGTAATCAGGTCAACTTATTGGGGGTGGGGTAGATAAAAAGAACGATGCTGAAGCTCCTAGAAAGGCTCTGGCGGGGGGGGGGGGGGGGGGGTATCATCCTGCACATCTCATTGTAGCGTCTCCTGGGAGTTGTCTTAGGTCGACGTTGGTAGATCATGTTCCAGCATCTTCCCTGAAATGTGCAAGCTACCTTATAGGATTTGCCACATACCTACATAGATTCAGAATTTGTGGAATTTTTTTGTGAAGTTACTATGTGTTTCATGAATATCTTTGTAATATTAATAGGTCTTATTTAAATTACCTTTTTAAAAACCATGGGGTTCTGTGACCCGTGTAACTGACACTTGCCGGCTTGTGAGTGCTATTCAGGAACAGYGGCAGAGGTGCTGCCCCAGCTGCTGCCTACAGAAGGCAAGGTCACAGAAATAAGGTGGCGTCCCCAGGCCATGCAGTCCAGACACCCAGTGGCGCACAGGAAGACGTTTCCCATTTTGTGGCCAGAGCCAGCTTGGGCTTCCCTCACCCCTGCTCCCAGTCATTCCAGGCAGCACAGCCRTCTTCAGAGTCCTTTCAGAATTCCCAGGCTGACCAAGTCACGGCAGCTGTCCCCACAGATGATGAGAAGGACTTGAGCTCAGAGRTGGCAGAGCACTATGGCAGGGTTGAAAATGTCAGAGGAACCCACATGTCAGCATTCACCCTCCCTGCCATTTCTGCAGGCCATGAGGTCGAAGCCCCAGAAGTACCTGGCCAGTCAGGCAGGAGCCTGTGGCACACTGGAGACTTTAAGGACATTTGAAGAGAATAGGTATTCAGTGTCACCAGCAGGAGAACACGAGGTCCTTTAATCAGATTCACCAACAGCTCCCTTTTTCACTATCATTCACTATACACATGAATGTCAAATACTGGCAACAGAACGCCAAGTGCAATTGACCCACTGCCCCAGAGGATGCAGAATTAGCACAAGATGATCCAAGAACATGAACTGGAAGGTTAGGCTTGTCGAGGAGCACCGCCAACGAAGTTCATAAGTGTGTCTGGAGAGCACCCTCGCTGTACTTCTGCCAGTCTTTTAAGCGACTTTAACCAAAACTGGAAAGTAACAATTAARATAGTCTTTTTTTTCTGGTTCAATCTTTGATCACTTGCTCATTGAACAATCTTTCTGGGCTGCTGTTCTTATTTGTGACGTGACCATGTGGCAATAAGCAGGCCCATGTTTCTTCCCCATTCACCCTTTCTTGCAGTATCTGAGAAAATGCATCCTTGCAAAGGTTTCTACCTGAGATTTTTTAAGGCCTGTAAATCAAAAAGCTGCACRTGTTTACAAAAGAGCTTCATCCTCCATGCACATACATTGCTCTGTGAACGTGATGGGAAGCACCGGAGTTTGGTGACAGCAGGATGGCAGGCAGATCCACGGGTGCTACCTGGACTCCAGCAAAACAGCCATTGGTGATGTCAGCACAGCCACAGGGTAACAGAGCTTCATGCCAACTGCTGAGACTAAGCTTTACCCAGGTGTCTAGAATCCCCAACAGAACAATTACCTCTCTGCATTATGCTGTAAGAAATCTTGCTAATTTGGTAGGAAGAGGAAGCACTTAGGAAAAGGTTTAGAGTCTACCAAGAGTACTTGACCTCAAGCAACCCATAGTGATGCAAAATGCTTTAAAACGGAACCAAAGGCATTGCCAAGTATTTGCCAAAAGGAGGCACTTTTTATTTAAAATTTGAGACTACGGAGATCTCAAAATATCAGTCCCAAAAAGGTATTATCCATTTAAGGTTGTAATTTTCACAGATGTAGATATTCTCTATTTTCATGTAAAATAGTTTAGAGTTGCTTTGTTGGTTTAGGAGTAGTACATATTCAATAGTAACAACAATTTTTTTTTCCTTCCCCTGTAGGAATCAGTTTTTTTGCTTGCAATAGAAATGCAGCGTGATAGGTGTTTCTCTTATTTTCATTGTCACGTTATGTCTTAGCATCTCACTTTATGGGAAAAAAAAGGAGAAAGATACCAATCTGCAGAGCCCTGCTCATTATAGCACTAGTTTAAAAAATTTAAAAATTATGGCAGTCGGGGGTCCATTCATGTATTGCCTTTCTATTGTGTTTTTTTTTTTTAAACCATGATGCCTTCATTTGCTTTTTGCACCCCTGAAACCAGTTCCACATCATGTCTGAATGCCATACATTTTGCACATGTACTGTACATAGATGAAGCATACTGTATTTTTATATGTGCGCACATTTATCATCAGATCTTTTGTACATAGTGGCAGTATAGTAGCTGATCGGGAAATGTTTGATATATCTCAGCGATTTTGCATTTTTGTGTCTCAAATAAAAAATTTTTTTTGATGTACTGTGGTTTTTCCTGTGCAGAGCAGAGACCACGCCCTATATGTCAGTGGGGCTGCCGCAGACTGGGGAGAAAATGCCACCTTAGGAACACAGCCCACAACAGCACAGCAAGGGCAGCGTCAGGGTGCTTCACAGATCAGGTCCTAGACCCTGACCTGCAAGCCCACGTTGAAAACCGCCATGATTCACATCAGTCATTGCTTTCCTCCACAATYATGGGGAGGCATCAACTAAACGCAAGAGGGTGAGATATGTAGTTCTCACTAGGGGTTGACACAGATCATACTGCACAACATGCCCACTGAAAACCAACTCACTCTGATGGCAATAAACACCAACAAAATTCCTGAAAGAGCCAGGCACGGTGGTACACACCTGTAAGCCCAGGGGCTCAGGAGGCTGAGGCAGGAGGATGGCAAGTTCCAGGCAGCCTCAGCAGCTTAGTGAGACCCTGTCTCAAAATTTTAAAGAGAGCTGGGGATGTGGCTTGGTGATTAAGCACCCCTGGATCCAATCCCAGTACAAAAAAAAAATTTTAAAACCCTAAATGACTCAGCATTGGACCCTTCAATTTAACCAACTTCCAAAAGCAACCAAGACATTTTTATAAGCTATAAAACATGGTTGTTACAATTCAGGTTGTTTTGTTGTTTTTTTGAGATGAGCCTTAATTTCAACCTGAAAGCCTAAGGTAAAATAGTTTTGAGGAGAACAGTACCATATTTTCCTCTTTGCTTGGAAGAAACAAAATGATGAATAAACTTGGTTGACAGCCAAAATTTTGACATTGCCATCTGATTAAGAAATCGGCGGGGGAAGAGGGGGTCAGACCATCAATCCCATTCACCCAAACAGCAAAACCTTCACTGACACCAGGTGCAGGGGAGCAGCTGGACAGAAGGGCAAGTCGTGATGCCTCCACAGGGCCAACCCATCCACAATGGGCCCCCCACCCCGTTTCACCACACAGATCCTGCCCCCCAGGAGACACACTGAACATCAACTATTCCAGGCAGAGAAAATAACGCCACAGGGAGCTCATCTGCACTTGAGGGGGTGTACAGTGGCTTGCTTACAATTCTTTAAGCACTAAAAAAAAAAAAAAAATGTCTGCAGAACTGTGGTTTAAAACAAATGTTTTTTATTTGTACTGGGAAATGAACCCAGGAATGCTTTACCACAGAGCTAGATCCCCAGCCCTTTTTGAGACAGGCTCTCACTAAATTGCCGAGGCTGGCCTCGAACTTGAACTTATGATCCTCCTGACTCAGCCTCCCAAGTTGCAGGGATTAGAGATGTGAGCCCCTGCACCCAGCTAGTGGTTTCACTTTCTTAAAATATCTCAACAGCCAGGCACAATGGTGCACACCTGTAATCCCAGTAGCTCAGGAGAAGCTGAGGCAGGAAGATTTCTGAGTTCAAAAGTCAGCCTCAGAGACTTAGTGAATCCCTAAGCAACTTAGTGAGGGGCCCCGTCTCAAAAAATGAAAAAGGGTTGGGTATGTGGCTCAGTGGCTATAATGCCCCTTATTTCAACCCCTGGTCCCCCAAAAATAAAATAGCTAACAAACTTGAGTATACATAAATTGACACAGCAATTCAAATTTTGTAAGAGATTTGAGAACGTTAACAGGAAATCACACGCAAAATCACAACGCAAAAATTGCAAACTCCTGTGCCATCCAATTGGAGAACCATTAAACATAGTAATTTACAGGATATGAAATCCCACTGCATTCCTGTATGTTAATAATGAATAAACCATGGACAAAAAAATTTATTCTAACAAATCAAAAAGAATACTTAGGAATGGAGCTAACAAGAAAATTATAAGATTTACACTTTGAAAACTATAATGTGTTACTGAGATAAATACAAATACACGGAAAGACATCTCATGTCCATGAAGATTAATATTGTTTAAATCATATCTAACAGGATCTGACCTAAAACATGCACAGGACTGCCGCGCTCCTGGCGACAAAAACACTCGGGGGTCACTCCAGGGGAGCTGCGCTGCGTGAAATAACCACACAGGACACAGAGACCTTTTTCTTTGGGGGTCCTGTGACAGCTCCTCTGACCTTAAGGGTCCGCAGAAAGGGCAAGGGAGCTCGCGCCGACCCCTTTTATTGAGAAGCCATTCAAATGGGGCAAGGGGTCAGGTTTCAGGGGGCCGAGTCTATCTTCACGATGTCCACTGTCAGCAGGTTGACTGACATCTAGGAAGGCCACACCCAAGGGCAGAGTAAGAGAAGGGGACACACAAGGGGCGTTTCCATGGAACATTCTATCCCAAACAGGGCAAGAGGGTAATATCACAAAGGAACAGGTGAGCGTAGCTCAATCCATGGGGCTGCAGAAGGCACACCTGCGTATGAAGACACAATTGGTTGCATTATTTCTACCCTCAAGATTGGGGCTACCGTCTTCAGCAACTTAAGAGTAGCCAGATCATGGGGGGGGGGGTGATTGACAGTGCCTCAACCAATCAGGAGGGGAAAACACTGGTCACATGATGTAACAGCCTCCCTCACAGGACTATTACAACTCAGTAGGACAGACCCAATTTTAAAATGGGTAAGGAATCAACTCTGGTTTCTACAAATGGCCAATACATGCACAAAGATGCTTTTATATCAAAAATCAAAGCCACATAGTATACCACTTTCCAATCACTA